TTTTAAAAATAATAGTGTGACTGGTCACACACGTGGAGGTGCACATCTAGCTGATGTACTGTTATTTTTTTATTAGGAACACCTCCTTGTGTTGTCTGTGCCATGCCTGCACGTGTGTCATGCACGCAAGTGTGAGGGTGTGTTTGTGTGCACTCCTGTGTGTATCTGCCCCTGTGCATGAGGTGAGTGTTTGCTTGTGTACACATATCCCTTAGAGGCATGGATCTGTGGACTTACTGTTCAGTCAGGGACCTGTGGTGTGCACATGTGTCTATTTGTGTGTGTTTCATGCAAGTGTGACGTGCCTGTGACTACATACATGACAGGCTCATCATTCCCAGCTTCTCACACTGCAATTGTCTTTGTTTGGCACCAAGGTGGAAGCTGTGCCAAGGTTTTTTCTTGGTGTGAGCCAAGGATCAAAGGGCTGTGGTATTTTAGAGCTTGTGAGCTGGGGGCCCTTGGAAGGCAGGAACTGCACACGGGATTTAGTCTGTAAGGTTCCTGGTCCTTCTCTAGGGGCAGTCAACAACAATCAATGATCTGTGCTTCACTCCCAGCCTCTGTGGGCCATGCTTGGCTTTCAGAAGGCTGGACCCAGGACAACATTTGCACTGCTGGTCTCACCATACCCAGTATCAGGTTAGGGAGCCTCTTGTGAATGCAGCCATGGATGTTTGCTTTCAGGAAACGAGAGCAAAGGTTTGGGGGATTTTTCTGTCCTTACCTATTTTGGCAGATAGGCAGTGTGAGAGGTGGTTCGCGGGTTGTGTTCTCCTGGCTTGTGTATTCGTCCATTTTCATACTGCTATAAAGAAGTGCCCAAGTCTGGGTAATCTATAAAGGAAAGAGATTTAATTGACTCACAGTTCATCATGGCTGGGGAGGCCTCAGGAAACTTACAATCATGGCAGAAAGCAAAGGGGAAGCAAGGCACTGTCTTCATGAGGCTGCAGCAAGGAGAGGTGCCCAGCAAAGGGGGAAGAGCCCCTTATAAAACCATCAGATCTTGTGAGAACTCGCTCCCTATCATGAGAACAGCATGGGGAAAATTTCCTCCTATGATCCAATTACCTCCACCTGGTCTCTGCCTTGACACCTGTGGATCATGGGGATTATTTTCAATATGAAATTTGGGTAGGGACAAAAGCCTAACCATATCATTCCATCCCTGCCCCTCCCAAATCTCATGTCGCTTTTATATTTCAAAACCAATCATGCCTTCACAACAGTCCCCCAAAGTCTTAATTCATTCCAGGATTAACTCAAAAGTCCAAGTCCAAAGTCTCATCTGAGACAAGACAATCCACCTCTGCCTATGTGCCTGCAAAATCGAAAGCAAGTTAGTTACTTCCTAGAATCAACTAACTTGATTGATTAGTTAGTTGGGTAAATACACCCATTCTAAATGGGAGAAATTGGCCAAAACAAAGGGGTTATAGGCCCCATGCAACTCCAAAATCCAGTGGGGACTTCAAATCTTAAAGCTCCAAAATGATGTCATTTGAATCCATGTCTCACACTCAGGTCACACTGATAGAAGAGGTGGGCTCCCATGGCCTTGGTATGCTCCCCCTCTGTGGCTTTGCAGGGTACAACCTCTCTCCTGACGGCTTTCACAGGCTGGTGTTGAGTGTCTGTGGCTTTTCCAGGGGCATGGTGCAAGCAGTCAGTGGATTTACCATTTGGGGATTTGTAGAACTGTGGCCCTCTTCTCACAGCTCCACTATACAGTGCCCCAGTGGGGACTCTATGTGGGGGCTCTGACCCTACATTTCCCTTCTGCACTGCCCTAGCAGATGTTCTCCATGAGGGCTCTACCCCTGCAGCAAACTACTGCCTAGACATCCAGGCATTTCCATACATCCTCTGAAGTCTGGGTGGAGGTTCCCAAACCTCAGTTTCTGACTTCGGTGCACCCACAGGCCCAACACCATGTGGAAGCCACCAAGGCTTGGACTTTTAAACCTCTGAAGCAATGGCCTGAGACTTAAGCTATATACTTTGGCCTCTTTTAACCACAGTTGGGATGCAGCACACCAAGTCCCAAGACCGCACAAAGCAGGAAGGCCCTGGACCCAGCCTATAAAACCATTTTTTCCTCCTAGGCCTCAGGGCTTGTGATGGGAGGGGCTGCCTTGAAGACCTCTGACATGCCCTGGAGACATTTTCCCCATTGTCTTGGCGATTAACATTTTGCTCCTCGTTATTTATGCAAAATTTCTGCAGCCACCTTGAATGAATTTCTCCTCAGCAAATGGAATTTTCTTTTCTGTCCCATCATCAGGTTGCAAATTTTCTAAACCTTTATGCCTACATTCCTTTTAAACATAAGTCCCAATTCCAAATCATCTATTTGTGAATGCACAAAACTTAATGCTTTTAAGAGCATCCAAGTTACATCTTGAACGCTTTGCTGCTTAGAAATTTCTTCCATCTGATACTCTAAATCATTTCTTTCAAGTTCAAAGTTCCACAGATCTCTAGAGTAGGGGCAAAATGTCACCAGTCTTTTTGCTGAAGCATAGCAAGAATCACCTTCACTCCAGCTCCCAACAAGTTACTCATCTCCATCTGAGACCATCTCATCCTGGACTTCATTGTCCATACCACTATCAGTATTTTGTTCAAAGCCTTTCAACAAGTCTCCAGGAAGTTCCAAAATTTCCCACATTTTCCTGTCTTCTTCTGAGACCTCCAAACAGTTCAAGCTTCTGCCTGTTACCCAGTTCTAAAGTTGCTTCCACATTTTTGGGTATCTTATAGCCATACCTTACTCTCTTCACTACCAATTTACTGTATTAGTCCATTTTCATACTGCTATAAAAAACTTTCCTGAGCCTGTGTAATTTATAAAGGAAAGAGGTTTAATTGACTCACAGGTCAGCATGGCTGGGAAGGCCTCAGGAAACTTACAATCCCGGGGAAAGCAAAGGAGAAGCAAGGCACTTTCTTTCACAAGGTGGCATGAAGGAGAAATGCCGAGCAAAGAGGGAAGTGCCCCTTAAAAAACCATCAGATCTTGTGAGAACTCACTGGCTATCACAAGGACAGCATGGGGAAACCATCCTCATGATCCCGTTACCTCCACCTGGTCTCTCCCTGACACATGGGGATTGCGGGAACTATGAAGATTATAATTCAAGATGAGATTTGGGTGGGGACATGAAGCATAATCATATCACCTAGTGTTCAGATGAAAAGGATGGAGAAGAGGGAAATTGGGGTCAGGAAGCTCCAGGCTTGATTTTCTTCCACATTTAAAACAAACCTAAGGGAGAGGTGGTGCAGCTGTCCAAGCCCTTGGTGGATCTGTTGTGTCTCACACAAGTTTTCTATTTTCTCTGTGTCTTCAGAAGTGTGCCTCTTACCAACACTGCCTCAAGGCTCCTTGCATCCTCAGGCCCAGGACTCAGCCTGACACATCATAGGTGCTCAGCACCTAAGGATTCCAAGAGGGAGTGCAGCTCCTCGGGGTCCATGTCCTATGTCCTCTTGTTTTCTGCTGGTGGTGTTTCAAAGTGCTGTTGACAATTGGGCCATGCTCAGTCCTTGTTACTGTGGGTCTTGTGCTGTGTCTGAAATAGCCCTTTATGGGCATCATCTATGCACTTGTTCACTTCTGTTGGCTGACATGGCCCCTGAGCTCTCTTCCTGTCCTTAGACCCTGTAAGGCCAGATGCAGTGTTGAGTGTGGAGGCTTCCTGGCCTTGCCTCCCATCCCAGCTTCAGGCTGGCCCGGCTCCTCATCCTGCTGTTCTGCTTCAGTTTCTCCATGTGGCTTTCCATCCTCTAACAGATTTCTTCACTTTTTCAGGTTAGTGTGGGAATGATGACTGACTAGCACATGCCAGCACACATAGGGACAGGTTTATTAAATTATTTATTTATTTATTTATTCTTCAGTTGAATGGGCGACTCTGTCTCCCAGGTTGGTGACTGTCACCAGTTGAAATGGTGCCTGGATTTACGTGATTTCTTGTGCATAGACCTGCTGCACTGGCTGAAACAGCTGCCGAGACTCGTGGCGCTTTTTCGCCAGGGAATCTCCTGGCCTAGCTCCCTGTTTCAGTCTCCTTTTCATCAGTTGAATGGGCGACTCTGTCTCCCAGGTGTTCCAGTCGCCTGTTGAAAAGACACCGGATCTGTGTGATTGCCCGTGCGGCAACCCACTGCTCCAGCTGAAAGAGCCTCGCAGAGATTCCTGGCGCTTTTTTGCCGGGGAATCTCCTGTCCTGGCTCCCTATTTCAGTTCCCTTTTTATCAGTTGAATGGGCGACTGTCTCCCAGGAGCTCCAATCACCAGCTAAAATGGTGCCCAGACCCGTGTATTTTGTGCAGAGACCTGCCCCATGGGCCAAAACAGCCACGCTGGCGACCCGTGGGACTTCTCCGCCTGGGACTCTCCTGGTATGTGGCCAATAAAAATCCGTCTGGAAATGTGGCGTCCACTCACCCTACGCACCTTCGCTGGGAGCTGCACTCCTGAGCTGCTCCTAATCGGCCATCTTAGATCAGTTCCCTATGAAATTATTTTTTAAGAGAGCACAGAATCCCAAATCACTCATCTTGTAAGATGTGTTGAAGTGTATAACCTAATTGCTGAACAATGGAAAGCAATTACCTTTTATTTAAAAGGTATTCAAAAGCTCACTAGCTAGCTAAGAACCTAATGGTGATATCAGTGTACTTTAAACAGAAAAATCTTCTTGCTTCACAAAAGTAAAGGAAGCTGTTTCATCCAGACTTTGCTCCTTTGATGCCTGCCAGGACTTCTGGTTTCATGGAGCCCACAGGCCAGGAGCAGCTGTGAGCTGGGAGACTGAGTTATAGAGAATGCCCACCAAGTTGCAGACAGAGACCCTCGGGAGGTGCACGAGAGCAGAACCACTACCACAAGCTCACTGAGAAATCTGGAAAGTTACCATCCCAGCCCCAATCCATCAAATTGAACATCGTAAAATTTAAGTTTTCTTCACTGTAAAATAGCAATTTGTAATGATTTTTGAGAAGTGGGACCCATGGCGGTGTCGATGTCTGAGCCAGGTGAGGGTGAGACCCCTGGCGCCATGCGCTGGCCCCCAGGATCCCCTGGGAAACTCATTCTGTTCACAGCTGTGTGATTCTTTTCTCTCTGTGTTGGTGAAGCAGCCAGACCCGGTCCGTTTGGAATGCCTGGGATGGTGCCGCCGCACGTTCCTCCTCAGATGCTCAACATTCCGCAGACCTCTCTGCAAGCAAAGCCCGTGGTAAGGCGTGCCCTGCGTCGGGTGGGGTGGCGGGCCTGAGACACGGTGCGTGCATTAGATTTTGACAAATGCTAAAATAAGTTCCTAACCTCTTGAATTGATATGTGAACTAGATGCCAGTGTTTGTTGACATAACAATGAGTCAGGAAACGTCAGGCCGGGCCTGAGTCTGGTCCTGCCTGCCACATGCGCATGTGACCTGTGCCCTTCCCTTCAGGCCCCACAGGTGCCCAGCCCAGGGGGTGCCCCGGGCCAGGGTCCATACCCGTACAGCCTCTCTGAGCCAGCAGCTCTCACTTTGGACACGAGCGGGAAGAATCTGACGGAGCAGAACAGCTACAGCAACATTCCTCACGAAGGGAAACACACGCCCTTGTATGAGCGGTCGTCGCCCATCAACCCGGCCCAGAGCGGCAGCCCCAACCACGTGGATTCCGCCTACTTCCCTGGCTCTTCTACATCGTCATCTTCCGACAACGACGAGGGCAGTGGAGGGACGACAAAGTGAGTGGTGGCAGGTTGCTGGGTCCTTCCTGGCGGGTAGTGACCTGGGGAAGCTGCCTTCCGGCCTGCCGGCCCCGCAGGTGTTTTGCTCAAAGATGTAGTTTGCTGCAGGTAGGTGATGGTCAGGCTGTTCTCAGACGGGGGCTCCTTGGACAGAGAAGAAAGAGGAAGAGTAGGTATGTTCTTTGACGTTTCCACGATTTAACATCTGCACCATCCCAGCCCCATGGCCTGGAGCTGCAGGAAACTTTTCTGGGGAGGAATTTGACAAGAACTGGTTTGTGTGATGACCAAAACGTGGGGGCGTTTGTCCCATGTGGTGCCACTCACACACACCACAGCAACCCCCTGCCGTCCCGCAAAAGCATCAATCTCCTGGCTCCTGGATCAAGGGAACTCTCCATTTCCTCTCCTTTTAAACTCAGCAGCGCAAAGGACACTTTTGAAATAACATTGTTTGCCCAAACACCCTAGAAGCTGCCTAGACTCAGGCTGGAACTGTTTCCTTAGAGGAATATTCTCAACACTGTGTGTCCCAGAGTAAATGTCCCTGAATAGTCACAAATACATAGTTGGTTAAATCTGATCAAAAAGGCTGAGTGTAGTGGCTCATGCCTGTAATCCCAGCACTCTGGGAGGCAGAGGTGGGCAGATCACTTGAGGTCAAGAGTTCAAGACCAGCTTGGCCAACATGGTAAAACCCTGTTTCTACTGAAAACATAAAAACTAGCCAGACATGGTGGCACGCGCCTGTAGTCCCAGCTACTCTGTAGGCTGAGGCAGGAGAATCACTTGAACCCAGGAGGCAGAGGCTGCAGTGAGCCAAGATCATGCCAGTGCACTCAGGGTTGGGTGACATAACGAGCCTCCGTCTCCAAAATAAAAAATAAAAATCTGATCAAGAAAATTTTAAATTTGTACTCCTCCCCTCCCTTTCAACTGTCTTATATTTAAAAAAAAAAAAAGAAAGAAAGAAAGAGAAATGTCTTTAAGTCAGTGTCTCCTTTTCCTTAGTGTGAACTCTACTTACAGGGTGGATAACCAGGGCTGGTTGATGTTACATCTGCTTCTGATGTAAGAAGTCTAAGAGATGTAGTTGTCAGTTTCCATGCAAGTTCTTACCTGGTGTGTCACCTGAAGCAGGTGATCTTTCCTCTCTGTCCCTTGTCCATCTGTAAAATGGGAATGGATATCTGTTGACCCAGGGCAGAGGTTACCGAAGGGCTTACTGCCACCCAAGGATGCACACCCTGTTTATGGCGGAGACATATAACATTAATAAATGTTTATTCACTGTATGTGCAGAGAAGTATAAAATTAATAAATGTTTATTTGCTGGGTGTGCAATGCTAAGACTCTAAAATGAAGTGAAGAGTTGCAATTGAATATTCAAAGTTTTACATTGATTTCTAGCAAGATAGTATATTGAGTACCCATTGAATCAGAATCTCTGGGTTGGGGCCCCCAAATTTGCATTTTAATTAAGCATCTCAGTCAGTCTTTAGCACACTGCAGTTTGAGAACTGCTAGATGGTCTTGGCAGCCTTCACATGCTGGAATTCTAAGGCATGTGCATTTTGTTGTAAAATGTGACTCGTGTCAGCAAGATCGAAGTGTCTGTACAATACAGTTTTCATCTTAGTAAGAAATGTTCTTTCTGAACTCTGAAACATAGGTAAGAAATAAGACAAAAAGCAAAAGAAGTCAACCTTATGAGTCCAGCAGTTAAGTGCTAGTGATGGAGATGTGGAAACCTGGTCGAGGTGCTGACTTGGGGACGTGGGTGGTGACCAGGACATGTCTCAGTTGAGGTGCTTGTTCCTCCAGCATGGAGGGATTGAGAAGAATGCGAATTGCCCATCTAATTTGGCAAGTTGTCTGTATTAGTCTCTTCTCATCCTGCTAATAAAGACATACCCGAGACTGGGTAACGTATAAGGAAAGAGGTTTAATTGACTGAGTGTGTTCCACATGGCTGGAAAGGCCTCACAATCATGGTAGAAGGCAAAGGAGGAGCAAAGTCATGTCTTGCATGGCAGCAGGCAAGACAGTATGTGCAGGGGAACCATCAGATCTTGTGAGACTTACTCACTATCACAAGAACAGCACAGGAAAGACATTCAATGACCTCCCACCAGATCCCTACTATGACACGTGGGAATTATGGGAGCTACAATTCAAGATGAGATTTGCGTGGGGACATAGCCAAGCCATATCATTGTCTTTGTTAGAATGAGCTGAACTTGGAGCAAGTAGGAGTGCCTGAGCATGTCCTGTCTTTTCTGTGTATGAATCTCCTACCTGTCTCTAAAGGTTCTGGTCAGGTTTTTGGAGCTCTGCGCATCTGGCCTCCCTGGGACCTCTGGCAATATTGCCTTTATCCCCGATACAGCATCTTTACTGTTTTCTGTTTCTCCACTGGAATTTGACCTGCTCAGAGTCTAGTGTTTTGCCATCCTTGTGGTATGAAGTGTCGTGAAGAATACAGGGTACAGCCTATCATCAGAAGATTGGATTCAAGCTGTGTGACTTAGCAGAAACTTCATTTCCTTGAATCTGCTTCCACTTTTATTATAATGTATGCGCAGTGCATCTGTAAAATGGGACCGAATGTCTGTCAGCCGAGGGCAGAGGTTACTGAAGGGCTCACTGCCACCCAGGGATGCACGCCCTGTTTATGGCATGGTAGACTTGAGATGAACGAAGGCAGAGGAGACAAGGGTGCTTGTTCCTGAAAGCTTTGGGGTCAGAAACTAGCATTTGACTTGGGGTCAAACCCTTGATCACAGGAATCCTGCAGGTGCAGGGGAGTGACTTGGATTTATGTGTCCACACGTGCCAAGTAGGAACAGTGTTCATGATTTCCTGCAAGCGTTCTAGAGGGTTGAATGCATTGTATGTAGTAGAGCAGAAGCCCAATAGTAGAAACCTCTGCAAGAACCAGTTGGGTGCAAGGAAACCTACGCTGTAATTGATGGATTGCTGGAGGCTCAACGTGGACAAATCTGAGAGTTGAAGACTCCAGAGGGCCTGGTCATGGGGGTTGCACATGGTTTTGTGCGTTTTACTTGCTAGATCTCTACCGAGTTCTCACAGTAAATATTGGAGAAAAATCCCTCGTACCTCCAGCATGGGGAAGGAAAAGATAATTATTTTAAAATGTGACAGAATGCTTTTTTTTTCTTTTTTTGAGACAGAGTCTTGCTCCATCACCCAGGCTGGAGTGCAGTGACGTGATCTTGGCTCACTGCAGCCTCCACCTCCTGGGTTCAAACAGTTCTCCTGCCTCAGCCTCCTGAGTAGCTGGGATTACAGGCAATGCGCCACCATTCTCAGCCAGAACACTCTGTTCTTAACAAGGCCTCCTCTCAGGAGAAACTACCTAACCAGAGCCTAACCTACTGGGTTTCACTAGAGCCTAATGAATCTGGAGGAAAGGAAACACCCAACTCCAGCTCCCCGTAGCCATCCTGTCCCAGCTAAGCAGGGCCGGGGAATGAGAATCACATGTGAAGATCACAGCCCAGAGACTCATAACAGTGAGAACTAATAATTGAACTATAAAACCCGTGCCCACCGCCCCACCCCTGGAAAAGAGAAAACGCAAAATCATATAAAGTGCTCAACTGAAACAAGAGAAAGAAGAACAAGAATGGAAGACATGAAGAAAGAATGGAACACGGTAACAAATATAGTAAGTAGCTCTTAATCTACATATATCAATAATTAAACATCAGTGGTGTAGATACGCAAATTAAAAGAAAGAGGCGGCCGGGCACGGTGGTTTACGCCTGTAATCCCAGCACTTTGGGAGGCCGAGGCGGGCAGATCATGAGGTCAGGATATCGAGACCATCCTGGCCAACATGGTGAAACCCCGTTTCTACTAAAATACAAAAAATTAGTTGGGCGTGGTGGCACACGCCCGTAGTCCCAGCTACTCAGGAGGCTGAGGCAGGGGAATCACTTGAATCTGGGAGACAGAGGTTGCGGTGAGCCAAGATCATGCCACTGCACTCCAGCCTGCTAAAACAGGCTATTTGTGCCTACAAGAAATCCAGCTTACATATGAAGACGCATTCTTTTTTTCTGTTAACAAATGGTAACAACTACTGTGATGTATGAATTACTGAGGTTTATTGTGGGACGAACACAGGAACTCTTATTTGAGCCACTGCGTGAATGGAGATGTGGTGAATGGTTCCGGGTAGATGGTGTAAGTCACAGAATGTTCTAGTAGCTGGGTAAACACACCATGGCCGCTGAATATTATGCATTTACTTTCTCTGTTGTGCAATTGTGAAGTTCCTATTGTTGGCCGACTTTTAAATAGAATATTTCTAAATAAATAAAGAGACAAGTTATTCTAATTTTTATAGTCTTTTCCAAGTGTCAAGGCTTTTTAAAAATATAGTTGAAGTCACGGTAATTTTTCAAGGAAATGTTTTTGTAGATCTCCCAAATGGACAGTGTGTTATAATAGAAATGTTTAAATTATGTATTTAGAACAGATTTTTTTAGTCAACAGATTTTCTTTCAGGGATAAGCTTTTTTCTGTGCTTCTTTCCCTCAACACCTTCTTTGTCCTTATTTCTTAATGGTTGGTATGTTTTCACCGCTTCATTTGCTTTTGGTGTCATAAAGCCTCATAACCATTTCTGCAGTGGTTCTTTTAGTTGCTGTATGGTTAGAATGCAGTAGTATTTTTATTTGAACATGTTCATACCTTAGGTTGAGATTTTCTCGGTTTCTAGTACATTATCCTTTGCATTTATTGTTGTGATTATTCTCTCTGAAGTGACAGCAGAACTTTCAACACCTGTTCTCTTACACTGCGTGTCTGAATTCCGGGAAGACTGCAGGAGTAGGTGAGAAGGCCTTTTCAGTTGGTCTGGTCATATTGGTAAATACTGTCTTATGTTAGTAAGTCACATAATTGCTAAATTCCTTAAGATTACATCATCTGAAGGAATGGCGTAGTGTCTAACTAGCTGTGCCTCCAAGAACAGCTGATGCACAGGTTGGCAGCATCAGAGTAAGTGGCTTTGGCTGAAAGTTATATTTTCCTACAACGTACTTTTTTTATGGCCTTTGGAATTATTAATAAAATGTGATGCTGATTGTCTTTGTGGAGTCTTGGAAGAGTAGAGTTTGCCACAGTAGCACTTAGTAATTGTGGGCATTCATTAAAAAGAGCCTGAGCTAAAAGCAAAAAGAATGCTAATGTGCCCTTGTAAATGGGTTAGTAAGCAGTTCTTTTATTGCATATGATACTGGGAGTGAATGGTATTTTTTCCACACCCATGGGTGTTAGTTATACATATAACCTATGTTTCTGGAATGTTTATATGTTATATGTAACTATTTTAAAGTAGTTTGTGACATTACCTAGCATAGAAAGTAGTTAAATAGTAAAATTCTAACTCTAAAATTTGAAAGTGCAACACAAGATATTTTATGTTTTCTATGAACTATGCCTTTCACCATTCACTGACCTTAAAGAAAAAGTAGTTGGTGAACAACTAACTCATGGTATCAGAATAATAAAAGGTTTTTAAATTCCAAAAGAGCAAAATTTATTCAAGTAATAGCATAAAATTTGAAGTCATGATTAGTGGTAAGACAATGTCTGAGAATGTGGCATTTCTGGATTTTCAGTTATTCTTTACATTGTATTTGATTCTTTTTTTCCCTTGGTGAACTAATTTCAGAATTGGAATAAACCAAATCCTGCTATTTATTTCAGCTGCTGTAAAGTTTTCTTGTAGAATGTATCTTTTACACTGTATTAGCAAAATGGATGGTGAAGAGGACTGAAATCTCACTATCCTGTGCTGAAATTAGACAGTGAAGGTAAAATAGAGGAAATTTGGGGATTTTTTCTTTTTTTTTTTTTAGTTAGAGTCTCACTCACCCAGGCTGGAGTGCAGTGGTACAATCTCAGTTCACTGCAACCTCTGCCTCCAGGTTCAAGCAATTCTCCTGCCTCAGCCTTCCAAGTAGCTGGGATTACAGGCACCCACCACCACACCCAGCTACGTGTGTGTGTGTGTGTGTGTGTGTGTGTGTGTGTGTGTGTGTATGTGTGTGTGTGTTTAGTAGAGACAGGGTTTCACCATGTTGGCCGGGCTGGTTTTGAACTCCTGACCTCAAGTGGTCTGCCCACCTTGGCCCCCCAAATTGCTGCATTTACAGGCACAAGCCATGGTGCTCGGCCCCAGGAATATTTAATTGTTGTAGTTTGTAGTTGACCATCATACAGTTTGTAAAATGATAGAGCTTGTCATCAGCGTCTAGCAAGTGATCTAAAAAGGATGAGTGAATAAAAGGTACCTGAGCTTCACCATCTGTGTTGTTTCCTTGTTTGGTGGGTGATGCTTACTCACATCAATACATTTAAATCAATGATTTAAAAGAAGAGGTTTTAGGTTTTTGAACTAATTTAAGTATGCCAAAAATCTGTGATTAGCCATTTTGGAACCTGTTGGAAGCAGATGCTCAGTGCTACAAAGAAAAATCAGCACTGAGACAAAGGATCTTTCAGCAACACCATTTTTACTTCCTGAACTGCAGGAAGGGTACCCTTGCTAGCCATCTTGCCACAAGAATAAAACATACAAAGGGTCGGCCGGGCACGGTGGCTCAAGCCTGTAATCCCAGCACTTTGGGAGGCCGAGGCGGGTGGATCACGAGGTCAAGAGATCGAGACCATCTTGGTCAACATGGTGAAACCCCGTCTCTACTAAAAATACAAAAAATTAGCTGGCCATGGTGGCACGTGCCTGTAATCCCAGCTACTCAGGAGGCTGAGGCAGGAGAATTGCCTGAACCCAGGAGGTGGAGGCTGCGGTGAGCTGAGATCGCGCCATTGCATTCCAGCCTGGGTAACGTGAGTGAAATTCTGACTCAAAAAAAAAAAAAAAACCATACAAAGGAGAGCAGATATATTTATTCCTTAGCATTTGGGGTCATCCTTACTGCTGTGTCTGATCTCTGCTGGCTGGAGCCAGATCTCACAATTTCAACTAAAACTCGATTGACTAATAACTTAAAAGTTTTTTAAACATGTAAAAGCAATGGAGAGCTGGGACGTGCCTATGAGCACATCCAGCACAGATATTTTGGTTAAAGTACAAGGACCTGGGATGTACTACGTGCCTGTAAGCATGGCATGTTTAACAGCTACATAGATAGGGCTTAACGAAGAGTTATTAGCACGCTTATTTTTTAACAAGAAAGGAAACTTTAAACAGGAACTTCTTTACTTCCCATAGAGCCTTCTGCAAGTAAGACGTTTCTAGGCCAGGTGTGGTGGCTCACATCTGTCCCAACATTTTGGGAGGCCAAGGTAGGCAGATTGCTTGAGGCAAGGAGTTTGAGACCAGCCTGGGCATCATAGCAAGGACCTGCGTCTACAAAAAGGAAAGTAAGCCCAGAGTGATGCTGTGAGCTTGTAGTCAGCTATTCAGGAGGCTGAAGTGGGAGGAGAGCTTGAGCCCGGGCGGTTGAAGCTTCAGGAAGCTGTCATCCTACTAACTATACTCCAGCCTGGGCAACAGAGGGAAACCCCATCTCTATTTAAAAAAACAAACAAACAAAACAAAACAAAAAATCTCTAATGTGATTTAATGTCTTTGTGCTGATTTGACTTAAGAAGATTGAACATTCCATCATATTCCTTTCCTTAAAGACTGCCTACAAGACTAACGAGTGATTTGACCGGATAGTTGAATCAGTGTTATGATAAAAAGAACCCTTTACTAAATTCTTGATAATGTTCTGAAGTTTCCAAAAGTGTAATCTAAATAGATCTTTATTTTTCAGACTATTTAAATATTTTTGAGATCGAGTTTTTAGTAACATCTAACATCCTAGGAAAATATAAACACCGTATGACAGCTCATACACTTTTTTCTTTTTAGTTTTCATTCAAATTTCGGGGTGTTTTATTTATCCCCTTTAATTTTAATTTTAATAGCAGCCATAAACACTTTGCTTCAGAATTATGGTAAATCATGACACAGAAGAGGTCTCAAGAGCATTTTTTTCATTTTACTATAACTAGCTCGCGACCACATCGACAGTATCTTGTTATTGCTTGGCATAGCATATATCCTTTATAATAATACTCTTTGTAATAACTTGTTTACTGCAAGGAACTCATACCTACTCAACTGTAGTATTTTAAGTTGTTAGTTCATAAATTAGACATACCCTTGACATGATTTGTATCATCTGAAACACACATTATTAATGTAAAGCGTTTGATGTGCCACGTAGTTTAATATTAACTTACTGAATGTAAAATGGACTCAAAGTTTCCTTTTGGAATATGTTGAAATGTCATCAAGAGTATAGTCATTGGTTATAGTTGTATGGTTATACACATAGTTATACATAGTTATACGTATACATATACATAGTTATATGGATGTAAATATTTGTTTCTTGAAAATTAAAAATCTTAAAGTTTAGAAACATAACACTTCTTGGAAAATTGTTCTACATCCTTGTGAACAAAAGAAGATCCAGTGAAATCCAATCTGATACTTAGGGAAGAGAGACAGACTTTGGAAGCTTGTCTGTTGACTCCTAAGAGACTTGTCTTCCTCTTAGAGGTGGGACAATGACTGGGAGTGATACAGAGAGGATAAGAACTGTCGCTAGAATCGCTGTGAATATTGTCTCTGCAGAGTGCCCTTCACTTCGGAATGGGAAGTACACTGACGTGCTAGAAAGGCTTTAAGCAAAGGCCTGTGCTTGTCAAGCCTGAGGCGCGCACGTGGCTGAGTGTGGTGAATGCATACCGGCCGCCCGGCTCCCAGCTCCGGGTCATGAAGGGCCACTGGGCGTTTCCCTGTGTCGTGCCTGTGTCTGCTGTGTTAGTAGGAGCTCCTGCTTCTCCCTGTTAACACCCTCCAGTTAGGATTGTCAAGTACAATGTCACAGAAGGATGGCTTAGGGGAGTTCAATCTCTTCCTGAACTGTGCCGTGCGGAAATATATGTAAACTCATGAGCAAGGTGGACAGTGTGAGTTCAATCTTCATCCAAATGCACCCCTGGAAAGTCAAACACTTCATTATTATGCTGATTTATCCACCGTGAAAATATCACATTTTTGATCATGATGATTCTTCATCTCTGAGGGCAATAGACACCACCTATGTTTTGAGAAGGTCCTGGCAGAAGCAATGATACGTGGGGTAAACAGAACGCCGAGCTGCCTGGGCAGAATTCAGGTCCCTCCAATTTACTGAGGAACAGAAGGAGACTGCAGCTGCCAGTCTCTTTGCAAAAGCCCATTCTAGTGCCAAGCTCATGGGATGCCAGGCACACGTGGATTCCAGACAAGCAACCCATGTGTTGCACTCAGAGTCAAGGGCATGGTTGTGGTGAAGTCAGACACTGAGTCTCCAGATATGCTGTGAGGACAGGAAGTTGCTCTCCCAGGAAAGGAGCTACTTGGGAGACAGTGGGGGAGGAAGCGGTGCAGCAGTGGACATCCACCTTCAGCCTCCCTCTGCCACTCCCCTCCCCTGTACCCTCAAGGGTCTTATTCAGATGCTGCTGGGCGGGGCCGGATGTCTGTATTCTTTGCAGGTTCCTCTCAGGATTCAGATGGAGGGCAAAGCTCGGGAAGCTTCCAAGGGGCATGGCTTGAGACTTGAGAAGGGGTGCACACTCCCCGGTTCCAGCCCACAGGCCCCTGGCCTCTCACAGCTCCTGACCCTGTGGTCCGCGGTGTGACCAGCCTGTCCTTTCACCCCTGGGCTCTGTCCTTCTGCATTTGCTGTGTGTGGGTGAGCTGCGGGGTACAGCTCACACGGGCTCCTGTCCTGCCAGCTTCACTGGGGTCCAGTCCCTGGGGAATCCCAGAAGGAGACCAAAGGCAGGAGCAGCCTAGGGCCGGGCACTGAGCCTCCCGGCTCCTTCCTGTGAAGCTACCTCAGCTGGCTCTGTCTCGGGCAGCAGGGGTGACTCACAGCTCTGTTCCTCAGGGCTCCTCCAGCCCAGCCCTCCTGTGGTGGCCCCAGGTTTGGAGCTGGTCATGGCTGGACGGGGGACAGCTCCAGATCCCTGCCGGCATGCGTTTCCTGCTGCTGCACTAAGGTCTCACTCCCAACCTGGCAGCCTCAGGCAGCCAGGAGGATTTGTTAACCTCCTGTGCTGGAAGACAAAACCAAAAATTAGTCTTGCTGGGCTAAAGTCAAGGTCTGGGCAGGGTGGGCTCCTGCTGGGGGCTCCTCTTGCCGTCTCTGACTTCCCAGGCTGCCCAAGGCCCTAGGCTGCTCCCCTCTCCACTCCCGGCCTCCACTCAGCATCTGCTCTCCCAGCCCTGCTGCTGCTGCCTTCACACCCCCTTCTCTGACCCTCCCTCCTGCGTGGAGGGACCCTGCGATGATGGTGCACCTGCCTGGCTCATTGCAGCCTCTCCCCACCTGAAGAGCCTGTGTCAAGTCCCATCGGCAAGGGTGCTGGTGCCATATGAAGGTGACATGCACTGGACCAGGCTTTCAGATGTGGGCCCCTTGAGGGGACGTTACTCTGTCTACCAACACTGCCGCACGCATTGCAATTCCAGACACCCATACTTTTGGAAACAGTCCCTTGTGTATGAACCTTCCTCAAAGTCACCCAATTCCAGCACTGTCTGTTTCCCTGACAGGGTGTGCTGTCCTTGGCTCTTATTTCAAAGCAGTTCAAGAAGGGAAATCCATGTAGCATGATTGTCCATGCAGCCACAGGCTCCCCCAGCTAAGCCTGAGCTTCCTCAGGGGCTGTGTCCTCACCCTGGCTCCTTGCCCTGCCGGCGATCTGACTGCTCCGGCATCCCCTGCCCGCCCCTCCCTCCATGCGCACACCCTCTTCCCTCTCCCCAGCCTCCACTCACTCATTCAACAGAATTGGGCAGAGCGCCTCCCTCACAGGAACAGGAGGATAGGAAGTGAGACAGACAGGACTTCTGCGCCCAGGTGGCGGACAGCCATGGAGAGAGTGGAGGGGGACAGAAGGGGACACACATGAGATCCCCTGTGGCCTCTGTGGTGCATCGTTACACTCTGAGAAGTGAGGCAGGAGGCCCACAGGGAAGGACCACATTCAGATGGGAGCACAGGGGCAGCAGGCTGACCCGGCCTCGAGGTGGGGAGGCTGCCCTCGAAGTGAAGCTGGAGCAGAGGCCGGGCACCGAGTGGTCATTCGTGAGGCCCTTGGAGGACAGAGCTGGGCCCCGAGGGTCCCTGCTTAGTGGTGGGTCTCAGAATGAGCGGAGCAGGGGCTAGGAAAAACCTGGAGGGGGCAGAGCCCGGCAAGGAGGCCGGACCGGAGTATCCACTGTTTGAAGAGATCGCACAGGCTGCAGCAGGGAGACTGGACGGAAGGAAGTTCTGGGACATTTCAGCTAAAACATCTACTCGGCTCTTGGCAGCCCACATTTGGGAAATGAGAGAACAAGGATGTGTCTGAGTCCTACATGAGAACGAGCCGGATGACTGGTCATGCCAGCCTCGGAAACTGACATCTGGGAAGACCCCATGAAGCTTGGGAATGACATTGTCTTACAACATGGGGCATTTCAAGATGACTTTGAGAGTCTCAGTGGAGATGGGGAGAGGCAGGTGGATTTACGGGTCTGGAAGCTCACAGAACTTTGAGCTGGTGATCCAATTTGGAAGGCTTGGGCTCAAAAAGATCAACTGTTAGGAACTGCTGTTGCTCCAAAGCCCTCCTGCCCTGGCCCACACAGCCTCACCAGGAGGCAGAGCCAGCTGGCTGCAACTCCGACCCCTGCAGCCCAGGACCCTGGTGCCTGCTGTCCACCTTAGTGAGAAGTGAATGATTCTTTACAGAGTTGCATGGGACAGCGTTGCCTCCCCACCAGCCTGGACTAGGGCAGCCCAGCGTCCTCTCAGGGTGAGGAACTCTTCCCCACACCTTTATAGGACTGCAGGAACCAGCACCAGCACAGTGATGCCCGTGGTATGCTCGTCTTCTGCACCCCTCTCAAGGGCAAGTCTAATGAAGGCAAGTTCACAGACCACAACCATGAAGCGTACAGACTGGCCACCACTGCTAACTCCCTTACCCACCTGGAAGGCAGGCGTCCTGGCCCAGGCTCAATTGCATTCTCTAATGAATACAGACAGGATTCTGGCTGGTTTTTTATTTTTGTTTTTTTCAGAGACAGGGTCTCACTGTGTCACCCAGGCTGGCATGCAGTGATGTGATCACGGCTCACTGCGGCCTTGACCTCCCGGCCTCAAGCGATCCTCCTGCCTCAGCCTCCCAAAAAGCTGGGATTAGAGGCATGGGTCACCACGCCTAGCTTTACCAGCCCTTTAGTAATAAGCACTTTTCAGAGAATTGAAGCTGTTCAGCCTGGAGATGAAGCGCAGATGTCACCCTGGACACCAGAAGTCTGGTTGGATGCCGGGGTCAGCTAAGAGCAAAATGATACTGGAGAGTAAAGGCTGTGGCTTGGCTGCTTTGACCCTGCAGGAAGAGCTTGGGCTGGCCCCAGGTGATGCTGCCCTTGCTGTCCTAGGAGGGGCCTGGCAGGGTCCTTTCTATTCCAGAAATGCTGTGAGCAGAGCTAATAAGCACCCACAAGAAGCTTCATCTGCCCAGAGGAGAGTCTGCCTCCATCAGCACAGTGCACTGCACGCCAGCCGCACTCAGCGACTGTTTTGGAAGTTGCAGGGCTATCAAAAAATTTTATGTCCCGGCTTTCAGGAAGTCAAGCCTAACAAATAACATGCACCCAGGAGAACTCCCCGAGGGCTGAGGTCTCTGGGGCTGTGGTGAGCAGTCCACGCAGACTGTGACAGAACCCAGAGGAAGAGGGAGCCCAGGACAGGGAGGGTCAAGGATGAATCCCGGCCCAGCTGGCACTTTGGGAGGCTGAGGCAGGCAGATCACGAGGTCAGGAGTTCATGGTGAAACCCCGTCTCTACTAAAAAGACAAAAATTAGCTGAGTGTGGTGGCATGCATCTGTAATCCCAGCTACTCGGGAGACTGAGGCAGGAGAATCGCTTGAACCCAGGAAGCAGATGGTGCAGTGAGCTGAGATCCTGCCACTGCACTCCAGCCTGGCGACTATGGTAGCATTACCATGGTCCACAGAAAACCGGTTGCATGAGCGATCAACAGAAGAGAACACAAAATAAGACCGAGGGAAGCCATGTTCCTAGGGCCATGCTGTCCCTGCTCCCGGCTGAGGCTTGGAGGAGGCCTACCCTGCTGATCACACGGCGAAGAGTCAGGGCTCCAAGGCCACCTGCACATACCAGGATGGCATCCCTGACACTCCCAGTGGGAAGCAGTGTCGCCATGCCCTGAAGACTCATGTCTGAGACGGGCAGGCAGCACCGCTCTATCAGCCAGCTGGCTGGTTTCACATCTCAGGGAGGGCATTGTGTCATGGATATAAATGACATGGCACAGCAGCGTCTCTGGTGTCTGGTGGTGATGAAGTCCTGGTGCTGTTAATGGAGGAAATGCTAAATTGCAGTTAGACATTAATGAAAATAAAGATGCAATGTTTTTTTCATTGTGATGCATGGGACCCCAAATTCTCCCTAGACCTCTAGACCCAGCATAAGGCCCTGTGCCTGCTGGCCAGGCTAGGGTGTGGGGACCTCACCACGGCACGTTTCCTTGGTGAGGCCATGCCAACATTCCTCGTTTCTCACATTTTGGAGCCCTCCCACGAGTGGGGGAATGCAGCCCTCCAAGGAGCTGGTGGTCTTGGACCTGCCACCCCACAGCCAGAGGTCTCTGGCTCCAGGCCACTGGTGCCTTCCCTGCTGGTACAGGTGAATTCTGGAAGGAGGGTACCAGGGGGGGTGGGCGTGTGGGTGGTGGGTAACTTCAAGCCTTCCCCAGAGGGAAGGCCTGCCTCATGGAGCTCTGTAAGCAAAGGCCAGGGGGCACCTAGGACCCCAAGTCCATGCCAGCTGGCATCAGGGGGAAATGGGAGATCAGCCTCCCCGGGACTGCCACCTTCAGGGCCCTGCAGAGAACAGGGCTGCCCTGAGTGTGCCAGCATCCTGGGAATGTCCCCCACCCCCATCACATCCCAGTCACCTGGCTGGCCAAGCATCACCAGAGAGGAAAGAGTTTGAAAAACCAAAGTCCTTTCTGCCCCAAAATATTTTTTATTTTTGCATTACATTTGTGTTTCCAATTGTGAATAAAAAATGCTTAGAAAGTGGTTACAAAACAGCGTGAACTGGACAGGAGGAGCAGCTGGCCCTGAGGGTCCGTCACTTCTCCACTTAGACGGCGTGAAGTGGACCTGGTGTCTGGGCGGGGTCAGTCAGGCTTCCCACTCTCAGGATCTGGAAAACAAAACCGCGCAGCTTACTGTGGGCGCACCGTGGTGCTGGCCACTTGCTGAAACCAGGCCCTGATGCCCTCTCAGGAGCTGCCGACAGCAAGGCTGGGCCAGCTCTGCTGCGACCCATGCCCTGTGTAGATGGGCTTGTCCTCAGCACAGCCCTGGCGGCCTCTGTCACTTGGGCCACCCTCCTCTGTGTGACCAGTCAGGGCACTAAATAGCTGTCAGAAACCCAGACAGGTGCTCAGCTCCTGCACCATCTACAGCATCCCCCCAGCACCAAAACAGGAGGCTCTGGGATGAGCGCCCCTCCTCCCTCCATGCAGAAACTCGAAGCCTGGCGCTGCAGCTCTGTGGGGAGGTGGCCCCAGGGCCAAGGCAGTCCCCCGACAGTGGACTGGGCAGGAGATACTTGCTCACAGTGAGGCCTGCAATGCGTGTGCAGGAGGGACCGCAGTCAGCTCGAGGCTGTTTGTAGCGGGGGGGGGGGGGGGCGCTGGCTGCCACCATGCTCTGAGCCCCACAGGGTGAGTTCCCACCCTGGATGGCCACCTTCCCTAAGGCCCCTGTGCCTACCAGGAAAGCCACCGCCCCTTGCATAAGCCACGGCAACCCCAGCCCCAAGTCTTCCTCAGCAAGCTCAAGCCGGCCGAGGGGCTCCCACCTCCCCTGAGCTCCGCCCACCTGGAGCAAAGAGGGTGGCCCCAGGGGCTGCAGCAAGTAAGGCAAACCAGGCCTCCTGGAGACAGGGGCTGCAGGTGTGTCTAGCTGACCAGGAGGCTGGCTCCCGCCATCGTGGGCACAGCCCGAGGCACTACTAAGCGTAACCAGGTGCAGAGCGGTGGGAAGCCCAGCCAGGTAACCGGACCAGCAGAGCTGACTGCTCGGGGCCCAGGCCACAGCCAGCAGGGGCAGTGTTGGGGGCCAGGCAGCCCTGCCAGATCCCCTGCTCTCGGACCCCTGCCGGGGCCAGCCCAGCCCAGCACCTGGCAGCACCCGCAGCCCCTCGGCACCCTCCTCCAGAGGTGTGGATGCACCTGAGCCCAGAACTGGCCCCCAACTCCTGTGCTCCCTAGGAGGCTGGCTGGTTTGGATTTCACATGGACAGAGGGTAAGAAAAATGTTGTTTCACACTGTTTTCGAGCAAAAGTGTTTATTTTTCTCCTTCAGATATACAATCTCTTGGGGATTCCGTGCCACTGACCACCGTGTATGAGGAAGGGGTTCACAGGCAAGGGGGACAGATGAGGGCAGCCCCCATTTCACTCCAGGGACAGGGCAAGGGGGCCGGTACAGAGAACAGAAATCTCTTACGACAGCATGGTGCCCTGGCAGAAGATTCTGCATAATCACCTAGAAAATCCAATTCTAACTGAATTGATGGAGTCATAGATTTGAACCAAAATAATTTACCCAGTTCTAATAAGTACAGAAACTATACAGTTCACAGCTGGGCAGTCCCAAGCAGTCTGCTTTCCAGCGGGAGGTCGAGGGGGCTGGGGCTTTCCCCTCCCACCAAGGGCTGTGTTGTGCCCGCTGGGGATGAGTCCCACTGAAATCTCCAGAAGAATGACCCTGCCCTCCTCAGGGCAGCCTTAGGAGTGGATGGGAGAGCGGTCTGTGTGCCGGGGTGAGCAGGGCCATAGGCCTCCATGAAGTCATGGAGAAGGGAGGGAAGTGGGCAGGAGAGAGGGCAGCTTGTCTCCACAGGGTGGGCGGGCAGCAGGAGTCTGTATGCCCAGCACACACCTTATCCTCGCTCACAGCAGCCCACTGGCACCGAGGGCACGTCTGCTCACCTAACGTTTTCTGGAGGATCATGGCCCAGCAGAGGCTGACATTCCCCACTGAGGGAGCAGCTCCGCAGTGTGCCCTGCCCTGGTGTCCCGCCGTCTCTCAGCCCCTGGCTAAGCCCAGGGAACCCGCGCTCTCCTGAGGACAAGGCAGGGCTCACCTAGCACTGGAAGCTCTGCTGTACTGAAGGAAGCTAGTTCAGGGTTTTAAAAAGGCATTTACAACAGAAAACCAAAGTTTGAACTTCAGCTTCAGATCTGTAAACCATTCACATCTCTGCAACTTAAAACAGTAAATAAAGATTATCAATGCACAAGCCAATTGCAAATGAAACCTTTTCCAATAAAGTTTTTTAACATTATCTTTTCATCAGGGAACAGAAAAGCTGGCATTCAAGGCACTGTACTTCTGCAGGGTTGTGACAAGGTTCTAACCATCAACTCAAGTATAGGGAGAGAGTGTGGAGGCGGCGTGTGGACCACAGGAACCTAGGAGCGAACGGGGTCTGAAGCCGCAAAGGAAGCAGTCTTGCTGCCCACCTGCCGTCCCCCTCGTGGCTGGGTGCTGTGCCCACAGCAGGAGGTGGGGGGGACTTGGAGGCCAAACCACACCTGGTTTCTCCGGGCGGTTCCGAGGGCGCCATCTGGCAAGGGACAGGGCAGAATGCTACGTGATCCACAGCCGGGGGCCGGGCATGCTGACCACAGGTGGCCGCAAGAAGACTGGCAGCACGGGCACCTGGGGGGGGCTCCAGCTGCCCTGTGCCCCCGGCTGGCCCACCTGGCCTGCCCAGGGCCCCCAGGACACTGGAGCTGTGGGCAGGCCTCCGTACTGACCCAGAAGCAGCGCACAGGGTGGGGCTGGGAGGCTGGAGAGGGCAGTACCTGGTGTGGGCACGGGCAGGGCCGAGGCAGCTCCGGGAATGACCGTGGTAGACAGAGGGCCGGGCACTGGGGGCAGACGTGGCATCCCCACTCCTGCTTGAGGTGCGGTCATCTACGAAACACAGAGACGAGAAGAGGAAGGTACACGTGGCTGCAATCGGCTGGCCTCCCCTAGAGGTGCCCAGGATGCCACAGTTTCTCCATCCTCAGGAGACAGCAGTCCTGGAACCTGCTGTGACAGGCACTCTCTCAGGGCTGACACCAGAATGATGTTGCAGGGTCAGGAAGCATCACCCTCCCTTGTTTGCTTCCCCAAGCTTTGGCCTAATAGCCTCTAGGCAACACACCTGTGTGTTCACCAGCCAAAATGGGCCTTGGAAGAGGACTGGTGGGGCCTGGTCCCCGAGGGCACATACGCGCCCCCACACGCCTGGCAGGAGCAGAGCCCCAGGGCCTGGGCAAAGCAAGTGTGCAGGGAGGCGGCGGCAATGCAGCCTTCCACTCTCCCAGCCCAGGGAGAAGCCACATGCGGGGTGTGGCCCCGGGAAGGCCAGGCTGCCGGCCACGGGGAGTCACTCCTCTCCACTCCAGGGAGGGCCCCACTGGGCGCTCTCCACAAGGGCAGGGGGAGCACTCCGCAACTTCCACGCCCCTTCCTGGAGATCAGGCGCTGGAGGAGCCTCCTCAACTGGAAGGGCATGTATGGAACTGACAGCTGAGCCCCGGCCCACGGCAAAATGTCCAACACCTCCCCAAAGTGCATCTGTGCTTCCAGTTGACACTGTGGTGATCTCCAGGAGGGCAGAAAAAGGGGACAACCACGCAGACTGGACAGAGAGAAGGAGAACTGGCCTCTTGCAGATGACAAGACCATGTGTGCCGAAAACCCGCAAGAACGGACAAACCAATTTCTAGAACTCGGCAAATTTAGCACAGTCGCCGGGTATGAGGTGTGAGTATCAACCACATTTTTACATTCTAGCAACAGGAAGCTGGACAATGAAATTTAAAGAATAACATTTATAATAGCATTCCAAAACGTCAGCTACCTAGGGATAAATTTAATGAAAACATCTCTACACTGCAGAGAAACAAACGAGATCCTAGTAAATGGAGACACCACCTTCACAGAACAGTCACGCTGTTCAAACGGCAAATCTCAGCAGCTAATCAACGAACGAATACAGTCCCCATCGAAATCCCAGTGGGCTAGCTTGCAGAAAGCAACAGGCTGTTCCTAAAACATATGCAAATATTAATGACCTGGAAAAAAATCAAGAAATTCCTGAAGAACATCAACACTGAAAGTCTTACCTGACCAAAGATTAAACTTACTAGAAAACTTCAGTCATTAAGAGAGTGTGGCATTGCCACAATGATAAGGAAATTGCTAAAGGACCCAGAATAGCAAATGCAGAAATGGACCTACACGCTTGATGGATGTCCACGCAATTCAATGCAATTCAATACGGAGAGAAAGGGCCGGAATAATCGGATATACAGAGAGGGAAAAAACAGATTGACCTCTACATCAAAATATACACAAGAGTTCATTTGAGATGGCTTGCGGGACTGAAAGCAACAGCTAAGGCTCCAAAGCTTTTAGAAAAAACAACATTATAAATTTTGCCATTTCATGTTCAGCATTAAGAAAGTGGAAACACAAGCCACAGACGGGTAGACGATATCCATTATATATATTAACACATCTCTCTATATACAAAGGGTCTTCAAAAAGTTCATGGAAAATACATGTCATGAAAAAACTATGCACGACCTTCAAAAAAAAAAAATCTCTGTACCCAAATAAACTTGTACTAACTTCTTATAACATGTCTGAAGAGGATGTAGTCTCAGGCACTAAGGAGGGGAAGGCATTGGTGGGGAAAGAGCCCCTATCACAATAACATGCGTTCGGCCCAGCAAAAACCAACATCAAATGTATGGTGAAGCTTGGGTGGAAGAATGGTGAGATTGCTGATGCTTTCTGAAAAGTTTACCAGGTCCATGCCCCAAAGAAAACAGCAGTTTACAAATGGTTGACTTGTTTTAAGAAGGGATGAGACCAGGCTGAAGATGGAACACAGCGGCAGGCCGTGCGCATCACTTTGTGGGGAAAATGCTCCTCTGGTCTGAGCCCTAAGGGGACCGGTGGTTGACAGCGGAAACAGTGGCCAACACCACGGACATCTTAGTAGGTTCAGCTTACACAATTCAGACTGAAAAATTAAAGTCAAACAGACTTCCCACTCAATGGGTGCCAAAACCGTTGCACACAGATCCACCGCAGAGAAGAGCAGAGCTGTCAGTGGAAACCTTACACAAGTGGGATGGAGATCCGGACACTCTCTGAAAAACTGTAACGACATGAAACACGGCTTTCCCAGTATGATCCTGAAGACAAAGTGCAGTCAAGGCAACGGTGCTGAGAGCTGGAAGTGGTCCCGTCCGAACAAAGTGGGCCGGTCAAGAGCAAAGACTGTGGCAATAGCTTTTGGGACACTTAAGGCATTTTGCTTGCGGACTTTCTGGAGGCGTAACAAGGAATGGTAACATCTGCTTACTATGAGAGTCTTTAGGGAATGTTAGCCAGAGCTTCAGCAGAAAGCCCCTGGGAAAGCTTCCCCAGAGAGTCCATCTCCATCACAGCAATGCTCCTGCTCATTCCTCTCAGCAATTAAGGACAAATTTCACAAGAGTTTCGATGGGGAATCACCAGACATCTACCCTATAATCCTGATTTGGCTATTTCTGACTTCTTTTTGCTTGCTAATTTTAAAACATCTGTAAAGTGCACCCATTTTTTGTCAATTAATAATGTAAAAAAGACTGCACGGCCATGGTTAAATTCCCAGGACCATTAGGTCTCTAGGGAGGGACTAAATGGCTGGCATCATTGCTTATGAAAGTGTCTTGAACTTTACGGAGCTTGTGTTAAGAAAAAAGTTTACATTTTATATATATATATATATATATTTTTTTTTTTCCCCCAGACAGGGTCTTGCTCTGTCACCCAGGCTGGAGTGCAGTGGCACTATCTTGGCTCAACGCAGCCTTGACCTCCTGGGCTAAAGCAATCTTCCCATCTCCGCCTCCCACCTAACTTGGATTAAAGGGAGCCACCACCAATGCTGGCTAATTTTTTTTGTTTTTTTAGTAAAGACAGGGTTTCACCATGTTGGCCAGGCTGGTCTCGAACTCCTGCCTTGGCCTCCCAAAGTGCTGGGATTACAGGTATGAGCCACTGCACCCGGCAGCCCAGTTAATTTTTGTATTTTTTGTAGAGATGGGGTTTTGCCATATTGCTCAGGCTGGCCTTAAACTCCTGGACTCAAGCAATTCACCCGCCTCAGCCTTCCTAAGTGTTGGGATTACAGGTGTGAGCTACCACGGCCAGTCATATATTTCTTATTTTTATCTTTTAATTCCATTTTTCCATGACCTTTTTGAGGCCCCTTTGTACAGGACAGACATAATACTGACAGATATATGATAAACTACCACAAATTAATAATAAAAAGATAAATCAACTTTTAAATGGTCACTCTCCTTGACCAGGCACTTTATAAAAGATGGCTGATAAGAATATGAAAAGGTGCTCTAAGGCAAATTAAACAGTAACGAGAAACCTACTACTGGGCCTCAAATTCTTTTTGCAAATAAAGTTTTAACTACAATGTCCTACAAACAAATACTTAAAACGTCACAAGAAAAGACAAGGCAATATAAAGAAAAACTAGGCCTAGAGCAAACAAAACCCAAAAAATATTATGTGAAGGAGATACGAGACAGAGAATTTTGGTAGAGAGTTAGAAACTATTTTCTTTCTTTTTAAGATATAGCAGACTTGGTGAAAAAACAAAGAATTCAACTGAAAAATACAATAAGCCAAATTAAAAACTGAATGGCTAGGTTTAACAGCAGTTTAGACACACACAAAAATTTAGTGACCTAAAATCTAAGGAAGATAAAACAGGAAGGTATGATTCATTCAAAGGAAACTACTTAACTGACAAAAACATCCCCAAGGAAGCCTCGACATTGGACTTAGTAAACAAAGTTTTTAAATCAACTGTCTTAAATGTGCTCAAAGAACTAAAGGAAGCCAAGGACAAAGAAATACAGGAAGTCAGGAAAATAACACGTGCATACAATGAGGATGTCAACAGAAGTTACGAAGGGGACCAAGTGGAAATCGAAGAGCCGCAAACATTTACAAATTCACCAGAGGGGTTCACCGGCAGACCTGAGCAGGCTGAATAAAGAATCAGCAAGCTCGAGACACTTACGATGGAAATGGTGACGTGAGGAACAGAGGAAGAGGTGGCAGAGTGGACAAAGCCAGAGGGGTCTGTGGTCTGCCATGAAGTGGGTAACACATTATGGGTGTCACAACGGCCCAGAGATGAACGCTAACATTTAGCTGCAGTGACTCTCCACAAGGGGGCCAAGCCCATTCAAGGGGGAAGCAGTTTTCAACAACTTCTGCTGGAGTGCAGTGGTGCGACCATAGTTCACTGCAGCCTCGAACTCCCGGGCCCCAGCGATGCTCCCACCCAGGTAGCTGGGACTACAGGCATGCGCAATCACGCCTGGCTAATGTTTAAAAAGTTCTGATACATATTGCAACATGGATGCACCTTGAAAACATTATAGCAAGTGAAATAAGCCAGTCACCAAAGGGCAAATACCATATGACTCCATTTATACGAGGTACTTAGAGTAGTCGAAATCATAGAGACAGAAAGAAGGACAGAGGCTACAAGAGCCTGGGAAACCTGAGGTACCAGAAATGGGGCTGGGGAAGTAGTGTTTAATGGAGACAGAGTTACTTTGGGGAAGATGAAAAGGTTCGGTGGATGGATGGTGGTGATGGTTGCACAATGCTCTGAATGTACTTCATGGCACTGAACTGTATGTTTGAAAATGGGTAAAATGGTAAATTCTGTGATATATATACAGCTATGACAAAAATAAATTTTTTTAAAAAACTCTTAATACTTAAAAAGAATCCAGAACATCTGAACAACAGTTAGCTCTGCTAATCCTAAACACTGATGTACCTGGGACCCAGGCAGCAGAGATGAGCCTGCCCAGGCTCTGGGTGCAGCCTCACAGAACTGTGGGGCCATGTTCACGATTCCTGACTTTGTCCTAAAATAATGGGATTCTACTGAGAATAAATTTGAGGACTCAGGTTGACGGAGGTGTACCTGTCAAGAGGACCCTGCAGTCATTCAAAACAGAAGTAACAGTGGCAGAGCTTGGGAGTGTGGATGTGGAGAGAAGGAAACAGTGAATTCAGCTCAAGCATCCATACAACAGCAACAAAGACTGACACCCGGGTCAAGAGCCAGTCCTGACAACCTCCACAGCCTGAAAGCACTAAGTCTGCTGTCCTGCCACAGTGCAGCCACACACAACACGCCGAAAACTGATAACCACACTTACTGCAAATAGCAACAGAAAGGATAAAATATTTTGAAACAAAAGTTAATGAAAATGCTGCACGTACTTCTGGGATGCAGCTGAAACCATCAGTGGGTGCTTTATGTCCTTGAATGCGTACATTGAAATGGAAAGGCTAGAAATCAATGAACACATTGTAAGAAACTTTCTAGAACAACAAAATTCACCCAATGATAGGAGGCAAAAAAAAAAAAAAATTAATGAAACATACGATAAAGACTCTCAAGCACCAAACGTGTTCTTTGAATAGGCTAATAAAATCTTCACCCCTAAGGAGACTGCATAAAGAAAGGGAAAGAGAGGAGAGGCAGAGAGGAGGCCGAAATCACCAACGTCAGGAATGAAATCAGGACATCACTGTAAATCCTGCAAATGGAAAAATAAAAGCTATTATGGATAATTTTATGGCAATTAATTTAAAATTTTAGATACATTTAGAGATACCAATTGCCAGAAAAGCAGAATTTAACAAAACGAAACAGAAAATCCAAGTGGTGTTAGAAGTATAGAAGAAACTGAATCCGCAGTAGCAACTGTACCCTCAAGGGATGAACAGGTGTGTAGTAAACACAGCAAAGATGTCAATTGGAATGCACGTAGTGGGTATGTGGATGTTCACGGCAGAATTTTCAACTCTTCTGTGTGTTTGAAATTTTTCAAGGTAGAAGATCATAGAGGAAAGCCCACACTAAAAAACACAGAAACAAAACTCCAGTCCAGATGGCTTCACGAATGACCTTTACTAAATATTTGAGACAGAAATAACACCGATCTTCCACAAAGCTCTCCAGAAAACTGAAAAACAGCAGATGCTCCTCCAATTTGCACTGACATCAGAACAAGTGAGGTGTCAAAACCGAGGGGAGCAGGTCCTCACTTCCGCCCCACGTTGGCTCAGGTGTGTGAGCTACAGCCCGACGCTGGTGTCATTCAGGGGTGACACACCTGCCCTGGTCTCCAGCCTGGGCACAAACAGAACTCGGGCAGAGGTGGGTCTGTCTGCTGAGATCAGGGCTACCAACTCTGGGTGTGCGGCCCAGGCTGCCCGGGCTGGGGCTGCTGCTGTATCTGAGCTGTGGAGTCACAGCCCTGGCCTGGCCTGGCCTTTCCACCTGCCAGCTGTGGCGCTGTGGGCACGTCGCTCACCTCCCAATCTGTAAAGTGGAGAAGCCTAGTTCTTGGGGCTGTGGGGAGAATGAACTCGGATCACGAAAGTGAAGAGCTTAACTGGACACCCCTCGGCCACACAGGGAACTAGCAAATGCTGGAGGCACAGCTACCCCACCCCAGGAGCGCCCGCCCCGCCCGCCCCGCACTCACAGCCCGCGCCTCGCCAGGGGCAGCCCGGCCTGCCTGGGCCTCCATGTCCTGCAGCTTCTGGGTCTGCTTCAGCTGGTTGAGCGTGGGCTTCAGCTGTGCGGCCCCCACCGTCTTGCTCGTCCACTCGTCCACCAGCTTGTGCAGGTCGTCCGTGAAGGTGCCCTTCTTGTTGTTGCTGTTGTTCACCTGCGCCTGGACGCGCAGGGCGGGCTGGGGGCCCGGCTCAGGGCCTGGGGCCAGGCTGCTGGTGGAGGACCCTGGGGAGTCACACACAGGCCAGGATTGGTGACGCCACACACGCGCCCAGGCCCCCAGTGGGCTGGCCGCACTCGTTCTTACGTGACAGCTGAGACAATGGTCTCACTTGGGCCAGGCAGCACCTTGCTTCAAGAGGCGGTCGGATTAAGGGGCCTGGCTGCCCAGGATCAGACACCGTGGAACTTTTCCACGGGCTGTGCCAGGTGGCCATCACCCACCTCAGAAGCCAGGCCAGGGAACAAGACCCTGCAGCAGCTGCAGCCTCTGCTCAGCGTCCACTCTGTGCCCACCACTGCCCGTCCCCAGACTCACGTGTGAGAGAGCTCAGGAAACTCCTAGCACAGCCAGACACACTGGGCTTCAGCGTCACGGTGCCTAGAGTAAGGTTCCTCAGGCTCTCTCTGGCCTGTGCATCCTCAGCCATAACATGAGGACGCAGGGGCGGTGGGAGTACCGTGTGCAGAGTGCTCAGCATCCAGGGCTGGCTGGCCTGCAGGCGAACCCCTGGCCCTCGGGAAAATGGCTGCCAGGGCTGGCTGACTGCATTCCCATGAATTTTAATGGCCTGATTGTTTGGAATTCCAGATGTAGAAATTGTCCTGACCAGAACGATGGAGGAAGGTATTCATAAAGGGTCCCCATGCCTGGGGCTGCCTGACGTGGCCCCACCAGCTCCTGCCGTTGGCTGTGCTGCAGGAGGGAGCTGGGAGCCGCCCTGCTGACCATTAGCACACCAGAGCACTCGGCTGGTTCATTCAAAGGGGCTCTTAAGGGACCAAAATGAGACTTTAAAAGTTTTAAATCATACCCTTTCCACCCAATACATGTAATTTCTGGTTGGCAATTTTGAATAAGCCAATTTAAAAATTTTCTGCATAGAAAAACAACCTAATGACCATCTCTTCAAACAAGCTGTCCCCAAATGTAGTGGACTTTAGTGGCTAGCAATGAAAAAGCACAGACACAGACAATTAAAAATTAGTGATGAGGTTTGACACACATGGAGCTATTCCTACATGAAAAGTTCAGCCAGAAAAGAAAAAAAAAATTTTTAAGAGAGAGAGAAAGATGAGAGAGAGAGAGGTGAGTGGCCCAGGTAGACTAATACCCACTCAGTCCTGGCATCTCTCCTCGTGGGGAGGCACTCATCTTTAGGACTTCAAGGAAATACTCATTCCTACGGTTTTGGAAAAGGAGCCAATTAATGATTGGTAATTTGCGGGTGTTCCGGGGAAGGATAAGCCCGTTAGATGTGAACTGGCAAGACCGCACAAACTCTAGGCGCCACGGAGACACACGGGGGAGCCGAGGGCAGCGATCCCACCAGGCAGAAGCGAAGCGGCGCCCAGCCGAGGGGCATGGAGCAGGCACAGGGCAGGCCCACGCCCGCCCGGCCGCGGGAACCCTGATGTGCGCTAGCCACGAGAAAGCCCATGCGATGAGAGAGGACAAAGGGGGAGAAAACCCGGATAATTACTACTGCTGTGTTCTTTGCCTAGGCAGAGACGCTTCAGGGCAGACCCTGCAAGGGAAAAAGAAACGACACAAGACCACAGGGTTAGGCAGAACAGCACACACCGGGACACGCTACCACACTAAGCAAAAGTCGTCAGTGTGCAGGGAGGGGCAGACACAGGCAGCAGTTCAGAGAGAGGGCCGACCCGGCCGGGGGAAACGGGGCAGCCCCCGGAGTGAGGGCACAGGCTCCCATGAGCTTCGCCGAGGGGGCGGAGGTGCCAGGGCCAAGCCCTCAAGCTTCAGGGAGAAGTATTTGTCTCTAGAAGCATATTCTAAGAAAAGTAAAAGAGAAAGAAAAAAAAAAAGAAGGAAAAAAGCAAAGCACACCGCTTTCAGACATCAGGCTTCTGGGCGCCCCACTGGTGGAGGCAGGACACCCTGCTGAGAGTCGGCCACAGGAGCTCAGGAATGGAGCTGGGCACGGCTGGGCCTGGCCACCCAAGCCCAGCAGAGGTTTTCCAAGTGCAAAAAGATACATTGTTTTGCAGGTTGGAGGCCAAGTCTGGATCTCAGATGCTGCCTCTGATGAGGTCAGCGCAGGTGTTGAGTAGGGGACCTGAGAGTTTCTATGTAGGGGCTGACTCCAATGTCGGGGGACACCATGCCACATGCACAGTCAGTATCCACAAGGGATAGGGCAAGGCCTCAGCCTGGAACACTTCTGGCCTCCTTGTAATTGGGACTGCCGCTAAACCGACTGATCCCAGCTGCCCAGAGGCCATCTGGTTTACACTGAATGCCATGTCCTGGCAGGTCAGTGCCCAGCCTGGTATGGACGGGGTCCCCAAGGCAGGGTGGGCTGGGAGGTGCGGCCATCCCCGCTTATCCTATGGGCAGGCAGAGCTTGGACGGGCAAGCACAGGCTCAGACTTCCCCAAGGTCACTCGGCAAAGCCACACGGGCTCTGTCTACACTCCAGCCCACAGCCTCTTGCCTAGGAGCACACTCTCTCCCCAGCAGAACTACACTCCTCAGCGCTATTCCCAGCAGACCTAAAGAGAAGTGACTCTGATCTTCCCAGGATTCAGGAAATCCAGCAACGTCCACCTTCCTTTTCCAAAGGGGCTCATGCCTCCTGCCTCGGGGGACAGCGGACAACTTGTCACCCAGCTCCTTGGCCCAAGCTTGGCCTGAGCTGTGTGTCCTGGACTTGGAAACCTAGTTCAACTGAGTATTTTCAGTACATTCTGTCTGTTCCTGAGCTAGTGTGGGGAAAGGTGAGGTGGCATTCTGCTGCAGACCTTACTGTTCGAATAAAAACGAGGGAGCCCGGGGGAGGGATCCAGACAGCTGGGCTCTGGGTGAGCACCTCTGAAAGGCTGTTCCCTGGCTGCTGTGTTCTGAGATGAAACCCTGCCAGGAACACAGCTGATATCCTGTGGAAGGCTTACTGAAGTTTGCAGGGGAGGTTTGGCTGGTTTTCTGTAGCGCAGAGGGGCCCCTGAAATCTGTGATGCAGCCTAGGCTGGGATCCAACCTGTGGGGGCACTGGGTGGGCACCAATTTCCCCGGCAGGCTTTGTGGGGGGGCTGCAGCCATGGTCCCGTGCAGACAGCCCTAAGCCAGGTGCTTCAAAAAGCTGCTCTGTGCCTGTCTGGCAGTTCTTGGTGTGGCTGGAACTCTACATTCAGGGCTAACTCCTGGCTGTTGCCAAGCTGGGAAGAACACCAAACAGGCCGGCTGCTGGCTGGGAACCACCAGAGGGAGCCTGGACCTGCGATCAAAGCTGAGACTGACTCACCGCCCTGGGAACCCGGGGTCGGGAGTGTCCTGAGGACACGGCACCCACTCAGAGCCAGGGAGCAACCCTGGCCCACAGAGGCCTCCATACCCTTCCTCAACTTGGGCCCCAAAGACCAGTGGGCAGATGGCTCTAGACCTCTGGCAAAACAATGGGTGCCAGCCTTTCAAGGCCACGCTGTCCGACGCCACTTACTGCAGACGACTAAGCTGGGGCAGAGACTTCCCCACGCTCTGGACAGCCCTGCCCATCCTTGGGTGGCTCCTCAGTCTACCTCTCCACAGAGCCTCAGCCTGGCCTGGGCCCTGCCCCTCACTTGCCCACCATGCAGACGTCACCCGAGGACAGCCCCACCTGGCCCCCTGCCGCTCGCTCTGCGCCAGGACAAACACCCCCGCCTCCTGTACATAACGCAGCAACAGGAGAGCAAAGGCGACGTTCAGGAGGCGGCCAAGTGACACCAGACCCACCTCAGTCTCCCTGTGGGGCTTCCGTCCCCAGCCAGGCCCGGGAAGAGGTGGCGCTGAGGCCCTAAACTACTCAGCAGTGCTGGGGCGGGGCTTGGTGGCCTCATCCCAGTGGTTGGGAGATCCGCTGCTTTCTTCCCAGAATGTAAAAGTGGCAGCACACAGGATGACAGGAGGGCTGGCTCTTGGACTTGGCATCTCCTGCTTTTGTGCAGTCAACATCGGCTGAACCCCCAAGGCACAAGCAGAGGCTCCCTCCCCACTCCAGCCCTGACTCGCTCTGACATAAAAACAGCTCTTGGGTCAACGGCCCTGTCCTCTGGGTGGCCCGGGCACCCACCCCCTCCAGACCCTCAGCCTCTGGCCAAGACACCTCAACATGAAGGATTCAAACCGAGGGTGTGTGCCTGGGCAGAGGGCCTAAAAAGTGGGTCAGCCCCAGAGCAATCCCTCACACTCGCTTTCACCTCGCAGGGCTCAATACTGCCCAGGTGCCCACGGACAGCGGGGCGGCCCACCTCCCCTCACAGGCGGCCTGGCAGCTGTGCCTCACCCCCCCTTCGACCTCCCGCGCTCTGAGGTGGGCCAGCCCACCCCACAGTCAGCATTGGCTCCCTTTTCTGGCACAGAAGAAAAATGAGGATCCAGGGTAAGACCCCCTTTAGGGTGTCTACGTATTGAACAACCACGTTCTTGAGCCAAAAACTGTTCCCAGATTCCTGGGAAGCAGGATCTGCCTGACTCCGCCCAGGGAGACCTAGGGTTGTTTTCCTGTTGCCCTGAGCTGCATGATCCCACCCTGCACCAGGCCTGTCGCACACAGGCACGCCCCACGGGCAGCCCACGGTGGCTCGCAGCACTGACAACCTTGGCTGCAGAGGTCAGGGCCTGGTGAACCAGTGCCGGGTGGGAGTCTTCTCTGGGTGCCCTCTGCCCCAAGGCCTCCTGAACACCTGCTGCAAAGGGCCTCGCTGAGCACGCACTCTGTTCCCACCGGGAGGGATGAAAGCATTCCACAGTGAGAGGAGGCCTAGGACGGTCCCTGAGCCAAACATGCTACAGCCAACAGGCGATGTAGAGAAAACCCAGACCCCATGGTTCCAGTGTGCAGAAAGGCCCACTAGATTGCCAGCACCTGCCCAGTCAGGTGGAAGGATCCGGAAGGACCCCAGCTTCTGAGCAGCAGAACCAACAGAACCAACCAGAGGTGTCATCTCAGCATCTGCACCTGACCCTCCTCCTGGCTCCAAGGCCACCATCCCTTAGAATGCAGTGGGCCGGGTGCAATGGCTCATGCCTATAATCACAGCACTTTGGGAGGCCGACGGTGGTGAACCGCTTGAGCACTGGAGTTCTAGACCAGCCTAGGCAACATGGTGATACCCCGTCTCTACTAAAAATACAAAAAAGTAGCGAGGTGTGGTGGCGCACGCCTGTGGTCCCAGCTACTTGGGAGGCTGAGGTGGGAGGACTGCTGGAGCCAAGGAAAGTGGAGGTTGCAGTGAGCTGAGATCTCACCACTGCACTCCAGTCTGGGTAACAAAGCTAGACCTTGTCTCAAAAAAAAAAAAAAGAGACTGCTCTAAGGCATTGGGTCGTATGAGCTGACCACAGCATCTGCTGACCACAACGCGGAGGAGTCTGCGGGCTGGGTGAGAGGTCTGCGCCAAAGGGCCTAGTTCACGGGGATTCCAAGTGGGGGCCTTGCACTCTAGGGCTCTGTCCACCTGCTGCTTCCAGCCTCCACTGCTTTATTCCCTGTCCTGCACCTCGAGTCAGCTCGGGCCTCTGGAGGTGCCTGCTGCACTGTGCTGCCCTGCTCTACCCCTTGGCACAGCCACCTGGGCAACCCCAGCCCACCCTCTGGTCTGGCCTCAACCTACCATGCCTGGAGCCGTTTCATCTTCTCTGACCTCCACAGAGGCCAAGATCCTTCTATACTTCAAAATGTAACACATTTTGTTTTCCTGGAACTGTCTCTTCCAGGAAGTGGGGGTGCCCCACACCAGGGCAGTGAGCTGAAAGCTCTCCCTAGGCTCTAGGGAGTGAAGGCTGGGCTGTGCCGGCTGCCCCTCCCTAGCCGCACCTTGGCATCCACCCCACTCCTCCTCTACTTGAACCGTGACGCCCAACCCCGTGGCATCTTCCATGCACCCACCTCAGCGTCTTCCTAGCCCAGGTGCTCACACTAACCCTGCCTGCATCCCTCCCTCCTGGCCTCCAAGCCCAGCGCAAGTCCATGGCCTCCGCCCAAGTCCTCAGCCTTTCAGCACTCACAGGGCTGCGCCCATCCCCGGAGTCTTTCCCCTGGAGGTGCTCAGTCTCCTCACAGACCCCACAGCTCCCCCTTCCCTTTTGAGCTATCCTGTGAGTTTACCCAGGACCAGCAGAGGTGCATGCAGGTGGATGGCTCAACAAGAAGTCCAGCTTCCACAGCCCGGGGGCACAGAGACAGGAGGGGGCAGTCCCAGCCACATCCCAGTAGAGTGGCAGAGACTTCAGCTGCCCCAAGCTGATGCAGACCAGGCTTGAGAGGTGCCCAGGGCAGAGGCCCACCTGAGTTCTCCCTGGCCAGCAACTCCAGAGTGGGGGGGATTGGAGGGGACTTTATGGCCCAAAAGACTAAGACCAAGAGGGAGGCTAAGCCATGAAAACAAGCAATACCACAAAACACAGCACAGAGAGGGAAGTGGGACCTGAACAGGCACCACACCTGACACCAATGCCCTGCACCAAGTCTCCCAGGTGCCCTCGCCCCAGTGCCAGCCCTAGCAGCAGCTGCACACACAGGACCCAGAAGAGGAGCACCAAGTGAGGCACAAGACCAGCAGAGGCCGAGACCTGGCTGCAGAGAAGGGACCACAGCCGGATGCCACAAGAAGACCCAGAGACGCAGGGGTGTGTGTGTGTGTGTGGGCGCCCACCCTCCAGACTCGACTCAGCAACTCACCAGACACCGGGCCGCCCTGACCCCCAGACCAACAGCCCAGATGACACAGCGGCCAAAACAGGGCAGCCTGTTAAACAGACGAACGGGAAGTCCTGGGAAGGCCCTGGCATTACTACATGGCCCTTGTGTCCTCGACCTGCCTGCCCAGAGAACAATGACCCACGTGGACCTCTGATGGCGTGGGTGGATGGCAGTGGACGCCTCCCACAAACATGGCCTCTGGCTCCCAACAAACACAATGTATCTTTATTGTACAAGCAAAAAGTCATGTGCCCCAAACCAGCATAACCAATCCAATTGTTAAAAAGCTTAATTTTCCTATTAAAAAGATGAAAGCCTAAAAGCGTTACAGCTTTTGATTCATTGGCCGATTGTCCTGAGAGTTAAAAACAAGCTGCGTGCTTTGGGATAGCCCCGGGCAGGAGATGGAGCTCCTGGGCCCTAAATGTGTTCCAGAGGATCTGAGCGATACTGGGACTGAGTTTTGGCTTAGTAGCGATTGGAGGAACTGCATCATTGACTTTGTCCCTGTGGTCACAGGAAAATACAGCAACTAAAGTGCTCCTGCTGGCTGGGGGAGAAGGAGCTGGCCAGGCAGGATGCATGCTCCAAAGAAGAGCCGCCCGGAAGGCTGTCACTCTCCTATTTTGGGTTGGAGACAGCAGTGGGTGAAGAGCAATGACAGAGGGGTCCAGACCTGCCCTTCCAGTGGGGAGGGGCTGGGGAGGCCGAGCTGGAGCACGTTCTCTCAGCATTTCCACATGCAGGGCGAGGGGCGGTGGGTATGCGAGGTACTGGGTGCTGGGATTTGGCCCTGGTACAGAAGCCACGCCCTCCAGTGACCTTTAGAACCATATAGGCTCGCTATGTGTGTGTCTTCACAGTCCAGACACGCGTGACACACACCGTGCGTGTCTGGAGGAGGTTGGGGTTGTCTTTTTGTTGTCGCTGGAACTGGGGACAGCGGACATGTATATTCGCCACAATTGCAACAGAAAAAAAACCACATCCAACATAAAAAAAAAATTAAATAAATGAGGTGACGAAAAAAATGCAAAGGGACCCTGTCCTTTTGGACGGAGGTGCCCGGGGTGGAAGGCAGGTCAGCCGCTGCACATGCTTTCCGTGCCCAGGCACCAGCCATGAGCATGCACACGCGATGTCTGGGGCCGGGGGATAGGCGCGGGCTGCCGCCGCTCCAGGGGACCGGCTCATGGGGTTCCACTTTGGTATTAAATAGGTGACTTCAGTGGGGTGGGGGAGGCATCCTATGAAATGTATGAAAGGTAATGAAGACAGGGAGGGGGTGGAGGGAGAAAACCAAGGGCCAGGAGGTGATAAAATACAAAAGAACAAATACAGACAGATGGACACAGATACGGGTCCACTGAGGAATCGAGCACGAGGTTTGCTACTAGACTTATAGGTCACTCTCTCAGACGTTGGGTGGTAAACCGTCCAGCCTGCAAATGAATATAAAGGGAAGAAAACAAAGAGACACTCATCAAGTACAGGTTGCTGCGATTCCTCCTCCACACCAACAGCCACACCAGCCTCGTCACTTAACATCCACGGCTCCATCTAGCCCAGCCCGGAGCACCAAAGCCACTGACCATGTAATGGGAAGGAGGCAGCGGGAGGAGCAGAAGAGAGGCAGCCCGGAGAAGGGCGGGCAGGGTGGGGTGGGCGGGGCAGGGCGGCTTCATGGTCACCATGATTTCTCTGGACAGAGATGGTGAGGACAGGAGAGCACCTTATTGAGCAGCTGCTGCTGTCCACGCAGCGTTGACGAGAGAATTTCCTCCTCAAGGCCAAACTCCCAGCTCGAAAGCTGTGCCCTCGTCCCCCCAGCCGTCCCTCTGGACTTTGGAAGGACCCGGTGTTTAGCACCATCTGGCTCTGCTGTGGGGGTGGGGGTGGGGCAGCCAGTGCCTGGGAACTGGCGCTGGAGCACACAGCCGGATGCCAGGTCCCCTGCCCTCCCCAGTCCTAGCCACTTCCCCGAGGTCCGCTCTAGCAAAGCATCACCCCCCCTGAGCTGCTTACAGCAAGACTTGGTGGTGGTTGGGGCAATTCCATTATTTTCATCCAAAGATTATGTCTTTTTTTTTTTCTCCTTTATAAAAGAAGCCTCTCAACAGCCTTTGCCGCAGCTCGCAACCCCTCTACACCACACGGGCGTGCTCCTGGGGACACCACTGAGGCCCTATGTGGCTAGCACATGCTCGGAGACAGGCAAGCTGGAAATCACCTTGGCCACGCACTCCGCCTCCATCATTGGCTAAGCCGGAGCAGATGTCCGAAGACAGGGAGGCCCGGACGGAGCAGGGCTGCTGGGTCTGCACTGCCTTCCCGCTCAGGCCCGTGCTGTCTGCAGCAAGCCCCGCACTGGCTTGGGCAGGGTCCTTAGCGGGAGGGCCTCTGCTGGAGTCAGCCAAGTGACCTGGGCGGGGGGAGAAGGGGCGACAGGCACGATGAGGCGCCGCCAGGTCGGGGCCGTGTGGGTCGAGTCTGTTCTGCCCGCTCGTTGCTGGGTGACCTTGGGAAAGCTCGCGTCTCCTGCAGACCACAGGCACATGGCCACATCTCCCGCGTAGGAGTGTTGGGGAAGATCAAAGAAAGTGCCCAGTCTCTACCAGCCCCCACTGCCGTGGCTGGACTTGCGTTGTGCAAATACAGTGACAGAAGACACACCCAGGCTGTCAGTGGCCTGTGCACCTCCTATCTCAGTCTCCCTTAGCTCTGGGAAGTGGCTCTGAACCCGTCCAATGGGTATAATTCATGGATGTGTGCCCCAAAGGTTGTGGGCTTATGGTGAGCTTACAGCAGCTTGCCTGGCACGCTTGGGGCCTTGGGCTCACAGGGACTCCAGCCCAGGATGCCAAGGCTCTCAGCCAGCAGGCAGGCTGCAGTGCTGCTCAGAAGGCCTCAGGAAGCCCCGGCATGCAGGGATGTGGGCTAGTGGCTGCCTGGAGCCAGGCCAGTGCCACTCAATGACTAGGTGTCACCTTTAACAAGACTGGGAGATCACCACCATCCCCTTTCTCCCCCAGTCCCCAAAAGCAGCTGCGCGGCTGGCACACACTGGAGAAATGGGTCAAAGAAGGCAGCCACCATCCATCCACGCAGTGCCCTGCAGAGCAGCAGGTGAGGGAGGGCAGCCTGAGCTTCCCTGGCACAGCTGTAGCCTACAGAGTCAGGCCCAGTTCTGAGCAGCCCCTGCCTACTCACGGGCCTTCCCTCTCTGCATGAGGACAGAGGACCACGGCTGCCTTCATGCTGCAATGACTCCTCTGCTCCAGGAAAAGCAGGTTCAGTAAGGACACAACCCCAACTGGTCTTCCAGGTCTGAGGGTGTCACACCTGCACGGAGCCTGCCTCCCAGGCTCACTCAGGGGTCCCCAGGCCCGCACCCATCCCAACCCTGCACCCGGAGGCCGACCTGTGCTGGAGGCCACGACCTTGAGCTGCCGCACCAGGGGGTTCAGCAGCTTGCCCGCCTTCAGCTTGCTCTTGCTGGCTTTTCTCCGGCGGCCAGTGGGAGGCGCCGTGTGGAAGAAGCCCACGTTGGGGGGCAGCGGCTTGCCCAGGCGGCGGTACAGAGCCTCGATCTCCTGCTTCTGCTGGCTCTGCAGCTCTGAGATCTCCTTCAGGTGCCTGCAGGAGGGGACAGGAGGGAGTGCCGGTGGGCTTCCTTGGTGATTCCAACACCACCAGGCTCTCCAGGAGGGAGGCGGTGTGGGAGGACAGGGGGTGCAGGGTGGGTGCCCTGTTGGTGCCTTGGCCTGGGCCACTCGAAGGGCCACACAGAGGCTGTAAAATGGCACAGTGTTCCTATCTAAACTGGAAGGTGCCAAGGTGGGGGCCTCTGGCATGGACGTGCCCAATGGCACAGGCCAGGGTAAGGAGCCTCAAATACCCAGACTCAAAACACTTCCATTGATGCTTGCAGTGAAAGGCCCAAACATGAACACAGGTGAGGGGAAATCAACAGGTGCCAGGTACCAAAGACACCGCCGTTTATCAGGCAAAAGTGTTATCTCCTCCACATGCAGAAACAGAGTGGAAGGCAGCTCAGACCAACACAGCACTGCACGAGGAAGTCAGCGAGATGCTCAGTACTGCCCAGGAGCCATGCCATACCAACATGGGGCCACTGCAGTGGGTCCCACGTCATCCTGCAGGTGAAATGCAGGATCACTGGCCGTGGGCAAGGGCAGAGTCTAGGACTGTCAAGGGGAGAAGGCGGAGGGGAAGATGCAGAGGGGAGAAAGGTGAGAGGAGGATGCAGAGGGGTGGATGGGGAGGGGAGGATGCAGACAGGAGGGGGCCAAGAGGAGGGGGCCAAGGGGAGGATGTGGAGGGGAGAATGCAGAGGGAGGATGGAGGGGGCAGGAAGGTGAAGGGAGGATGGAGGGGG